TGGGAATTGAAGAGTTTGATTTGGGGATTTGAGGGACCATTTGATGTCAGATTTTGATGAATTTGGTGTGGGTAGACTTGTGAGTGAAAGGGTTTTCTAGTTTTGTGATTTTTGTCAGATTCCGAGACGTGGGCCTGAAAGCCGGGTTTGGGTGAATTTTGGGAGTTTGGTCTAAATTGATAGTTTTCGTGTGGAATTGATTCCTTGGCCTATATTGATTACATGGTATTGCTTTTCGTTAGATTCGGGACGTTTGGAGGCCGATTCCATAGGCAAAGGCATTGTGGAGTAGGATTTTGATCGGTGGTAAGTAACGATTATAAATCTAGTCCTGAGGGTATGAAACCCCGGATACCGTGTCGTATGGCTATTTTGGAGGTGACGCACATGCTAGGTGACGGGCGTGTGGGCGTATACCGTAGGTATTGTGACTTGGTCCGTTCCGTGAGGCTGTGGAATCAATTGGCCTACTGTTTAATACATGTTCCTTTTGTTTTCATGGAAATTGACTGTGTTTCATGTTAGAAATCATGTTTAGGCCTTATGTGATCACTGTTGAGACATGCGAGGTCGTGTATTTGCTAAATTAGCTGCTAATTTCTGTTTGTACTCTGTCATAGTTTTCTAGCTTAGTAGCCTCCGTCTCTTACTGTTCATTGTTGATACATGATTTATTTCTGTTGGGCTGTTTATATGATTTCTGAGAGCCTGAGAGACTGGAGAGATTGATGACTGAGGCCGAGGGCTTAATTGTGAGGATATTGAGAGTATAGCACGTGAGTTGTCCGTGCGGGTTCTGATATTGAGACTATAGCACGTGAGTTGTTCGTGCAGCACGTGAGTTGTCCGTGTGGATTCTGATATTGATACTATAGAACGTGAGTTGTCCGTGCGGATTATAGCGCTCGGGCCGAAGGAGCCCTTCCGGAGTCTGCACACCCCCAGTGAGCGCATGTACCTATTGAGTGTGATTATAGAGGGCTGAGAGCCGAGTGATTGAGCCGCTGAGATGAGTTAAGTGACTGTGTCTTAAGACACTGTACTCGCTTTCCATTATTGTTGCACTTAACTGTTTTTCTGTACTTGTTATGTAACTCTCTGAAGGACTTGTTATCTGGTACTTGAGCACGAACTGATTTGACGTAGACTGCCGAATTTGAAAGCATGCCTATTTCTTGATGAAGTTTACTGAAATACACTGTATTTTGCATAGCTCGTCACTGCTTCTCAGTTCCTTATTTATTTATGTTACTTACTGAGTTGTAAGTACTCACATTACTCCCTGCACCTTGTGTGCAAATCCAGGCGTATCTAGGCACGGTAGCGGCTGTTGACTATTCCAGTTGCTGAATATCTAGGAGATAGCAAGGTAGCTGCCTGGTGATCGCAGCCCTGCTCTTCTCCCTCTTATCCTCCTTTATTTGTATTTAGCTATTTTTCGGGCTATGCTAGTCTCGATATTGACAGACAAATTATAGTAGATGCTCATGACTAGTGACACCCTGAGTCGGGATTCTTTTTCCGCACTTTTGTTTTGTTTGGAATATTAAATAGCTTTGAGATTATCTTAAAATTTGAAATAACGTTTTGTTTTGGAAATGGATCGGCTTGCCTAGTTCCACAATAGGCGTCATCACGACGGGGTTAGTTTTTGGGCGGTGACATACATATTTCAAAATTTCTTTAGCTTTAAAATGTGGAGTAGAAAATGTAATAGGTAAGTCTACTGTTGCAGCTGCCTCGCAGAAGTCCACTGTTGTTCAGAAAGAGGACATTAACCACTGAAGCTGCAAATTAACAAAATTGTATACTTGTATATCATGGATGTGGCAACTTCAATAGTTCTACTGTACATAATGCGTTTTCTGTTTTTATTAGAAAGATGGAAATTAGAAAACAACCTTTGGCCATCTTTCAGAACGGTCACATCTTGGGAAAATTTTCTCAAAATACTTTTCTTTACTTTACCTTAATTTCAAACAACGTTTTCTTGTACAATGGAAATGAAAGCAGAAAGTAGAAAAATATTAGAGAAATGCATTACTTTTTAGCCGTTCTTAAAAATAATAGTTAATAAAATATTTTTTTTTTTGCACATATGTGTATTAAATACATATCGTTTACACTCTTTACCTAATGCAATTAATTTCGTCTGTTTAACCAGGGGCATATCTAGGGGTGTTTTCATGGGCACGTGAACCCATGCTTCCCTTCCTAAATCAGGTATAGTAATGGTATATTTTTTTCAAAAATATTTAGATATATGTGTGCACCCATTCTCAAAGTATTATATGATGTGATAGTTACTGGGTCTACCTCACTAAGTGAGGTTGCGATGTCAAATCTTATATCAATTTGTTTCTTCTTCTTCTTCTTCTTCTTCTTCTTCTTCTTCTTCTTCTTCTTCTTCTTCTTCCCCTAGATCTAGACGCCCACGGGAGATGAGCATGTATGATGTCACTTTTTGCGTATTAATTAAGTACTTTTTCTTTTATTTCTTGTTTTTGTTTGATTCATTATTTCAAAATTTTCACACATTAAAAATCCTATTCTTCTTTTGTCACCATAAAATCTTATATGATTAAACAAAATATGTATATTAAAACTATATGATGTAGCATATAATCAATGGGTTCAATTGCTCTAGATATTTTCAACATGGAGAATAGATATAGATGCAAGAATTATTTTTTTAAAATTTTAATTTTGAACTTATAATTCAAAAGTGTAACGGATGCGCAATAGTAAGAACTAAAGGTTGAACATGTAAAATTTATATCCTGGGTCCACCCCTTCTTAATAGTACACTCATCCTGCCAAATTCCTGGATCCGCCTCTATGTTAAACGTAACTAATTTCGTCTGACCGATTAATTTTGTATTTTGCACAAAATAATATTATCGATCCTGACACGTAGATTGCGGCTTGAAATTCCATTCGCATGACATTTGCCTTGAAGAAAAAGCTCAGTGGCCCGATATGTGAAATTGAAGTTACACAAATTTGGTTCACTATCAACTTACTTAGAAGATGTTACCATCCTATTTTGATGAAAAGTGAAATTTTGGTCCCTCTATTACGTTCTATTTGTAATCATGGTCCTTTAATTGTTATCTTAATTATACATCTAGCCTTCAATTTGCTGCATTTTGCATATTTAGTTTTATACATCATAACAAGAACCATCTAACTTAAATAGCAATAGCTTTTTTCCACGGGCGCACTTTTATCCCATATTTAGGAACATCTTCTAACATGCCTTTATTGAAAACTTTTGTTTCTTCTTAAAAATTGGGAAGTAAAAATGTAAAATGGCCCTTTTGGAAAAAAACCACGATCTAAAACGTGAAGGAAATTTAAAAGATGGTTGAGTTAGCAACTTTTAGCCAATGTTGGGCCAAATTACGAAGTTTGATCAATTGAAGGCTCCTTTCAATTCAGAGTTGTTTATAATGTTAAACTCTCTTATCAGTTATCACATTGCATTAAATCGTAGGAGGAATTGATACAAAAGTAAATGGTAATGACCATATCAACACATTCGGGGACGCGTGCTAGTGTTAGAAATTTTTAGTGACCGGAATTGTTTTGACTAAACCAATACATGATTTGTTTTTAGTATTTCTATAGGATCGTGTTTTATATTAGGGCGCTATGGGTTTAGGAGTTAACTAAGCATATATTTATCTAGGTATATATGATTTGAAATACGGAATTTACAAAACTAAATAAGGGCTATCCATTAGTTCATGAATCACGACAAAAATGTTATTGCAATTTGCTCTAGCTAATCTTTTCAAAATTAGCTGCTGTTTTCACACTTTATTCTCTCCTCCGTCCAACTGTGAATAGGGTTGGTCAGCATACATTACGGCAACAAAATACAATATACAGAGTGTTGCACATTTCTGTTCGGATATGGACCTCAAAAACCGCAGAAAATAAAGCCATATATTTCTGGCACACTCAATACTAATAATTTGATAAATTTATTTCCTCCTATTTTCCCTGTCCCTTTTTGTTCTTTTACACATAATGATAAGTTTGTTAACGTAAGGACACTACTTATTAAGTTTTTTCCTTAGAAGAAAAGCCAAGATAAGAGAGAAAGAATAAAATGCGATACTCTTCAAATTGAATCTTGTGTTTCTATGTATTGTAGTGTGACACTTTATTGTTACCTTATTAAAATATCAGAACCATAAGCATCGGACAGGTGGTCTTCTATTATATTTATTCAATTTATAGTGATATTTTTGGCTTTTTACTTCAGCTATAATTCGGATGAAGTGATTTTGAGTGCACTAAAATTTCGAATCTCATTGGATATAGAGTCAAAAATCGTATCCCGAATTCTTCTTGATTGTGATCATCCGAATCAAGAAAAATGGGCCAATTACTATCTAGAAGGGAAAAAAAAAAAGATCCATTGGTCATTTAGAAAATGATTTTTTTTTTTTTTTAAAATGACGAAATTTTTGGTCTTTACCAGGGTGTCCCATTGGATATATCTGCTAAAAAAAACAAAACCGTCAAGCAACCTCTATTATTTTAAATAGTTCACATCCTTCTACTGGTCCCACACTCCTTATTCATATTATTACCAATAAAAGGGATGGCTTTATTCAAAGAATTCCATACATTATTTATTAGCTTTTAACGAATTAGTAAAGGAACTCGAAAAGGGTAACATTATGTTTAATTCATGAATTATTATTAATAAAACAATGGAAACATATTTATAGAATGATTATATTAGGAAGAATTGAGTTAAAATGCATGAAAAGCTTGCTTATACATTATTGGATCTAGACTAGATTATGGTCAAGGGTGTTGTATACTATCGATCAGACACAAGCCGTAAAATCTTTGAATTTAAACCATACAATAAATGGATACATTTCCCACTAATTAAATAAAAGCAAGATTCATTATTTTTTAATAAAATAATTCATTGAAAGGTCAACTACAACCAAAAGAGTTCTCTTTAAGATAGAAACTGTGCGTATTGAGAGTGAAAGGACTAAATAAAAGGCAGAGGTTTAGTAGTAGTAGTAGTAAGCAAGAAAGAACATGAAGATAACAATGGGGGCAAACTCTGCCCTTTTATGTCTCCTTTCAGTTCTTTTTATGTTATTGCTTAGTCCCACATTTGCCATTAAAAAGGTAATTAAGCTTCTTTTTTTTTCAGTTTTAGTTCGTTCATTGTTTATAATTACTATTTGGAAAAATTAATAATGATTCAATGTGATTTATGTATAGTCATATGTGGTGTATATGGGTGCACATTCACATGGAAAAGAAGTTTCATCCATTGATTATGATAGAGTAAGAGATTCACATCATGAGTTTCTTGGATCATACTTGGGAAGGTAATTACTTATTGTTTTTCTTTTTAAGTATATTAATTAATTCTCTTTGATTTATGTGAAGTCAAGAATCTTACACGTTGAAATCTCAACAACAGCACTGACAAGGCAAAAGAAGCAATTTTCTACTCTTACACTAAACACATCAATGGCTTTTCTGCCATGCTTGAAGATGATGAAGCAGTAGAAATTTCAAGTAAGCAATTTGGGGTAGTCTTGGTCTTTTCTGTAAAGTTGTATTCTTTTACTTAATTCAGATTCGCGCCGCTCAGGGTTTTTTCCTACCAGGCTCGAACTCGAGACCGAATGTTAAGAATGTATTATGGTAAAGTTCATGTGTTATGAATGTTGTGGCATCCCGGTGCACAAAGCATCTCATATTCATGCGGTGTCTGGAAAAGGGCCGCAAGGTGTTATGAATGTTGTTAATGTAATTTTTTGTTTTGATTTGCAGAGCATCCCCAAGTAGTATCAGTATTTCTAAACAGGGGAAGAAAACTACACACAACAAGATCATGGAGCTTTTTGGGATTGGAGAATGATGGAGTTATACATCCAAGTTCATTATGGAAGAAGGCAAGATTTGGAGAAGATACAATTATTGGCAATCTTGATACTGGTAAATGTTTTTTTATTCACTATTTTATACTCAATTTACAGATTCCAAGTTTTTGTAGTAAGACAGATCCAAACTTGAAGTCCTTTTCATGTTTGAATATTATTCTGCCAAATTTTCAACTATTTTCTCTTAGTTACTGTTTAGTCAAGAGAAGGGGAGTCTTGGAGCAACGGTAAAGTTGTAACTGTGTGACCTATAGGTCACGGGTTCGAGTTAGGGCGAAGGTACATAGCCCTAAGGGTGGTCAGTTCGTCGAAAAATTATACTGTATATATAGGTAAAATATTAGATTTTAATGGTATATAATATATATTGAATACCCTTTATTGGGAATTCTTTTTTACTTATTTCAAGCTTTAACACCCTAAATGAAATTCCTGGCTTCGCCACTGAGTTCGAGCTATGGAATCAGTCACTTACGCTTGCATCAGACTAGGTTGCCTTTATTATATCTCTTAGGGTGCGGCTCTTTCCCGCCTCCTGCATGAATGCAAGATACTTTGTGCACCCGCCGGACTGTTTTTACTATCTAGTCAAGAATAGGCATGTGAAGAAAATTGAGCTTGCAATAAGTTGGGCTTAGATCATTGACTTTGTTAAGGTTAAAGAAGTCTTCTTTTGTGATCCCATAATTATGATAAGGACATTATTGGAAACTTGCAAGATTTGTCTTGATAACAATAAACTATAGTTTATTATTTGATTTTTCAAGATCTCATTAATTCCTTGCCTTGGCCAACCCACTTTCACATATAACAAAATATTATCTATTTAACAGAAGCTTCCTCTTTGAATCATGTCTGCACCTTTCAGCAGTTGAAAGAGTAAGCATGAGAAGCAGATTATTTTATTCATCTTTGGGTTGGTAGGGTCAATTACAAAATATTTTAATTTAGATAATTGGAATTGAAATTAGTATTCTGATTGTCTGTAAATGGAAAAGTTATTTTGCTTTCTGTGCAATTCTAGGCAAAGTCATGTTGGGAAACTACTAAGCAATCTAGAAGCTAATACCTGCATTTATTTGATAAACAATGTTCATAAAAGTTGAGGAACTTTAATATCTTTTTAATGTTGTTAAATTATCCATATAGCTTGTGTTGTCCTAGCACAGACAAAGGCCTACATACTAGTGGATTGGTGCTGTCACTGAAAACAAAGAACAGGTTGGAAAACAAAAGTAGAATTAAAAGAACAGAATATGTAAAAAAAAAAAAAGCTTAGGTTCTGATGCCCTTACCTCAAAAGATGGATAATTTCATCCTTTCTTCCTTTTCTTAATTAGTCAACATTTTGCAGTTACCAATTCTTAAATAACTTTTCCCCTTCAACAGCTCAACTTCATTCTATTTTTGTGTATTAAATCCACAATATACGACATTGTTGCAACAATAAAAGGTAGTCTGGTACACAAAGCATCCGTATTCATGCAGGGTTCAGGGAAGGGCCACCCCCCAAGGGGTGTGATGTAGGTAGCCTACAGCACGATCCGTACCTGCATATAAGTCGTACAAAGACAACTCCACCGTTGCTTCAATGCTCCCCTCCGCATTGTATGGAATAAAAATTAATCTTTATGTTCTATAGTCCACTCACTTGGAAACTGGCTTAGACTAAAAATAACAGCAAGAGTGCATTATTGATTAACTTTCTTTACTACATTATAAGTCACGAGTTCGAGCCGTGGAATTATATTTACATTAGGGTAGGCTATCTACATAACACCCTTAGGGTGCGGCCCTTTTAAAGGCGGGGTGCTTTGTGCACCGGCTGCCCTTTTTTCTTTACTACATTATGACTTACTGCTGCTTATCTCAAAGCTCAATTGTTGGTGTGATATGGGTGTGGACCAGGTGCCTGGCCTGAATCAGAAAGCTTTATTGATGAAGAACTGGGACCAATTCCATCAAAGTGGAGAGGGATTTGCCAAAATGATTCTGATCACACCTTTCAGTGCAATAGGTACTGTTTCCCTCAGTCCACTTTTCTCTTTTATCATCTTATCTGCACAGCTCGGCAAACAGAATTTTGCACTTTAGAACTTTCTGTTCACTGACATTGTACCTTTTCGGAATTCAAACCATACATCTTTCTGTATATTTGTTTTTCTTGTAATAATTTGTAGTTTTGGACAACATAAGTAAATGTAAAGTGATTGTTGATCTGTTCCCTAAGTCACTAATCCGGGATAACTTAAAATTGGCTTAACTAGTGAAAAAAATCCTACTTCAAAGTATGAATTCTACATTTTAGTATTGAATAAAGATTTTGATATTGAAGTTATGTCTATCTTAAATAAAGGAAGCTAATTGGAGCGAGGTACTTCAACAAAGGATACGCGACTCTAGCAGGATCTCTAAATTCAAGTTTCAACACACCACGAGACACGGATGGACATGGTTCCCACACGTTATCCACAGCCGGTGGAAATTTTGTTCAGGGAGCAAGTGTTTTCGGGTATGGAAATGGAACAGCAAAGGGGGGATCACCAAAAGCAAGAGTAGCAGCTTACAGAGTTTGTTGGCCTCCAATTTTGGGCAATGAGTGCTTTGATTCAGATATCTTAGCTGCTTTTGATATGGCAATTCATGATGGCGTGGACGTGCTTTCGGTATCACTTGGAGGAGATGCTGGAGCATATGTTAATGACAGTGTTGCTATTGGTTCATTTCATGCTGTTAAGCATGGCATTGTTGTAGTCACCTCTGCTGGTAACTCTGGTCCTGGTCCTGGTACAGTATCAAATGTTGCACCGTGGCTCATAACCGTTGGAGCGAGCACTATGGATCGTCAGTTTCCCAGCTATATCATCCTAGGAAACAAAAAGCAGTACAAAGTAAGGTTTTCTTTTCCTTCTCTTGTGCAATATTTTACTGATAAAAATGTATAGGAGGTGTAACGTTAGGTGTATGTATATTCTTGTCTTGATTTTACCAAATGAAATATTTTTGACAGGGAGAAAGTCTTTCTGTTGAAACACTGCCCAAAGGCAAGTTCTTCCCAATTATTAGTGCTGCTTCAGCAAAAGCTCCCCATGCTTCAACTGACGATGCGTGAGTATAATCATCTTGCTTCACTAGCTCTTACTACAAATAAATCTGAGAGTTTGCTTGGCTGACACTTTCTTCTTTCTTTTTCTTGTTTTGTTGCAGTCAGTTATGCAAAGCTGGGGCATTGGACCCTAAGAAGGTAAAGGGAACTATTTTAGTTTGCCTAAGAGGAGATAATGCAAGGGTTGACAAGGGACAGCAAGCTGCTTTGGCTGGTGCAGTTGGAATGGTTCTAGCCAACGATTATGCATCTGGCAATGAAATTATTGCTGATCCTCACGTCTTACCTGCTACGCAAATTAGTTACACTGATGGACTTGAACTCTTCGCTTATGTTAATTCAACAAGGTAAAATAACTTACGGATGGTTTAACTTATATATACTAACAGTGTAAAGACTGTATCTAACTACGTCACTTCATTTTCTTGTTAAAACGTTTTATGCAGTACACCTACAGCTTCCATTACACATCCAACAACTCAAATGGGAACAAAGCCAGCTCCGGTCATGGCAGCCTTTTCATCGATAGGACCTAACACTGTTACACCAGAGATCCTTAAGGTTTTATAACAAACTCAACGTTGTTATTTTTTTCGAGTTTATTAGAATAATGTCCTTTTCATCGGGTCATTTATTTGGTATTATGCTTGCAGCCTGATATCACTGCTCCAGGAGTGAGTATAATCGCTGCCTATACTGGCGCTGAAGGTCCAACAAATCAAGATTTTGATAAACGTCGGGTTAAATTTAACTCAGTTTCAGGCACTTCTATGTCATGTCCTCATGTTTCTGGTATTGTTGGTCTTCTGAAAACCCTTTACCCTACTTGGAGTCCTTCTGCTATTAAATCAGCAATTATGACCACTGGTAAGAACAAATTAACCTTTTCATTTACACATTTGAATCTATTACATAAGTTCCTAATTGTTAAAAGTTGTAAAGTGCGCATTTTCTGAGTCTCATGAAACTTTTTATCTGGTTTTAGTTCTGATTCTGGTTCTGGTTCTGATGCCATGTTATTTTCTTGTGGACAGCGAGAACACGAGATAATGCTATAGAGCCAATGTTGAATGCTAGTCACATCAAAACAAGTCCGTTTGCTTATGGAGCAGGGCATGTACGGCCAAACCGTGCCATGGATCCTGGTTTGGTGTATGACTTGACTATCGATGATTATTTGAGCTTTCTCTGCGCTCAAGGCTACAATGAAACTCAAATCAAGACATTTACACAAGGCCCTTTCAAATGCCCTGAGCCAGTTAATTTCATTGACATGAACTTACCCTCAATCACAGTGCCTAATCTCAATGGTTCGGTTACTGTTACTAGAACTTTGAAGAATGTTGGATCTCCAGGTACATACAAAGCTCGTATTCGTCGCCCCATTGGAATTTCAGCTGTTGTTGAGCCAAATAGTCTTGAGTTCAAGAATATTGGTGAGGAGAAATCATTCAAGCTTACTCTGAAGGTTAAAGGAACTAAAGGTCCAAAAGATTATGTATTTGGCCAGTTAATTTGGTCAGACAGTAAGCACTATGTTAGAAGTCCCATTGTAGTAAAATCCACATAGTTAGGTTCTTTAGATTGTTACAAGTAATTAGTTTAGTGGTAAGTTAATCACTGAATTATTTCTCCTGTCCAGCAAAAAGAAAGAAGGTAATGTGTAGCTCTTAATGGAAAATTTATTAGTTACAGTTCAATGTTATTTGAAGATATCCAATTGTCAATTGTGAAATGTTGACTGAGAAACAACACGTGATGAATTCTTAGCTGTGAAACTAGTAACACTGTTTATTGTCAGCTTTGTTTTAAACATTGGTTTTCATAAGCCATAAATGCGATGTATGCATATGAAGTAGGCGTTTGGACATAAGAATTGTAAAATTCCAAAAAGTGGTGAAATTTTTTTTCTAAGTGAAATTGGTATTTGAATTGTAGAGTTGTGTTTGGACGTAAATTTCAGTTTGGGTTGTTTTTAAAGTTTTGTGAGTGATTTGAGTGAAAAATTTTGAAAAACAGCTTTTTGGAGTTTTTCAAATTTTAAAAAATTTCCAAAATGCATCTTCAAGTGAAAAATTGAATTTTTATGAACAAACGCTGACTTCGAGAAAAGTAAAATTTTTTGAAAAAAAGGAAAAAAAAATTGTATGTCCAAACGGGCTCGAAGTTTGGTGCACAGTTCATTTTACCTCAATCTATTTGAACAGCTTGCAATTTTTTGTTCCTTAACAATGCATCATGAATATTTATTGATGGATTGCAACTAGTCGTCTTATAGTGGACATTATAATAGAATAATTTAATTAGGCAAGACTTAAGGCTCGTTTGGTATAAGGGATAAGTAATTCTAAGATTAAATTTGAGATGAATTTATTCCACATTTGATTGGAATAAAATCGTATTATGACTAATCCCGTGATTAATTATGCTGGAATTATAATAATATTTTATCCTTATGGGAAGGTGGGATAACAATCCCCAGATAAACTAACCCGGGAAAATTAATCCGGGAATTACTGGTTTCCCAACCAAATAACCCCTCAGTATAAGAAAAACAAAATATACTAATTCATGCTTGGTGGCATATGGGTAAGGTTGCATTGCATCCCAGATTTGAAAGCATAATTGGCACGCGCGAGCTAGAAGCCCACATACAGGTTCGTTGAAACACTAGCCTTTGTTTAAAAAGTGTATTTGTGTTAAGAAAATTATTAAATATGTATAAATATTAAGTTAGAACCGATTAGCACTTGAAGTCGTTGGCCTAAAATCTACAACCTATAAAGTTGAAATCCTGGCTCCGCCCCGATAATTCTTGTATAAATCCTAGTTACAAAGATCGGTATGAAGTAAACTGATGGAAGTGAAGAAACTGCAGAAAGATTATTGTAATTCATTGGAAAACTGCAGCGTGGAATTATGTATAACGATCATAATACAATAAAGAGAAAAAAGGAAATCTTGCTTTCTTTCTGTACGATGAGGGCAAAACAGATATGTGAAGGAAGAGATTTTCATAGTCTACAGTATACGAGTGACATAGCATTGGACCTCCTGATTTTGATGTTGTTATTGGAATTTTCAGCACAATGTGCCTAAAGCCAATGGATCCCATCCCATGACCACACTCAAATTATTGTAGGCCTAGGTAGAAATTTGATGCAGTCTGATTGTTAATCCCCTTTGAAACTCCACATATGGATATGCAATGGGTTGTTCTCCTTCTTCCACATCCCATCTGCATAACATGTGTCCAAAATTAGCACAACAAAAAAATCTAAAAGCTTCTAATGGAATTTTAATTATTATGGAAAATTAAAAGAACCATAAGGAATAGTGTGTTAGTTAGATGAGATTTATTTTTTCTTACCAATACTAAACCCCTTTATTAGGTTACAAGGTGATTGTGTACAGTAATATTATTATTTAAGCTAAAAAAGGCCTAAAAACACTAGCATAGTAGAAATATTCTTTTATATAATCAAACGTGATCGACTACTTATATTGCATGGACTTTCTAAAAATGTTATCGAACTCGTATCAAATTTTTAAGAGTGCGAGCAACATAACTGATCAACAGAAAAAGTGCTAAAAGATGTTGAAGTAGAGATTTACCTGTACTTTTGTACGAGGTGGTGGAGGAAAAATGCTACCTCAACCTTTGCAAGTTCAAATCCAGGGCAACACCTTGACCCTCCCCCAAAAGGAGTCAGTTTCTTGCATATTTGCTCATCGCTCTAAACATTTAATTTTTAGTGCAAAAAAACAAGAAAAAAGGAATTAACAACTTGACAACGAGCCTTACTTTAAAGAAACAAAAATGAATAAGAAGAGAGAGATAGGGCTTTGCTTAGACATTAGAGAGGGGGGTATGCGTTAATTAACCCTTTCGTTATGACAATTATATAAATATTTTTTTACACTGTTACTATATAATTACCTCCCATCTCCAAGGATTAAACTGGAGGGCATTTGCATGAACTGATGGGTCCAAGTGAACTGCACTGAATACTGGTAGGACCTTCCAACCCGCTGGAATCACATAATCTACATTCATAATTTCAACAAAAAGAAAAATGTATTTTTAAATGTCAAGCATAATTTAAAATTATCTTTATTATAAGAGAAAAAAAAATAGTTTCTCTTCTTTTATAGCCGGGCATCTGGAAAAAGTAGAATTGTACAATGCTAATAAAGGTTCATGCATGCATAATTAGGGATTAACAATTTTTTAAGTATTGGACCATTACACAGACCTCTAAATTTGACATCTTTAAGGGCCTTTCGGTGCACAAATTTGACAACATTCCCATATCTGAGAGCTTCATTTATTACCTGTATTTAATAAGAAAATAAACTTAAGTTAAAAAAACTATTAATAAAGATAATAAAGTCTAAATATTTATAATAATATTCAGTAATCATTGTAGTCTGCGCATTCTCTCTACCTTTTGAGTGAAGTCCATCTTCTTGTAATCTTCCCAATTCAATAACTCTTTCTTTTTCTTCATGCTTCGTACGTTATGATGCTCTACCTACATTAGTTTTTGCAATGAGAGTTGAGAAATCAAGAGAGATGCGGCAAAACTAATAATTGTAACAGTGCAAAGATTTTTTTACAATATAACTTCCAAATTTTGATTACGTGGCACAGCAAATTTGAGACTAGAACTTCTAAAATTTGACCTTTCAAATATAGAATCTTTAAGTTTTTTGAATAAACATTATATCTGAAACGATGTAAAAAGTACTATGAGTCACAATAACTTAGCAACTGAAAATATTTAAAGACATTCAAAAATAGTGGTCAGAAAAATCCCATTGACTCCTGAAATTTGAATGATGTCACATAAGTTAGAACGGATGAAATACTTATCATAGAAATTTGCCGTAATTAGCTTTAAGAGGGTCTAATCGTATAGTAGTATTTAGTTCACGTGGATAGGATTTTAACTCGAAACCAACAAAGTAAAGATTATATAGAGATAAATGCATGTAATTACCTTGAGTTGATCAAGAGCAACTTGTGATTGACCAACAAAAAATACAACCATTGCCATTAGTAACGAAGTGGTCTCGTAACCACCTAGTAAAGAATCTAGAACAAAGCTAACTTTTTCATCTTCAGATAAGGTATCAACACAAAGAAGTATCTCAAGAAAATCATTCCTTTTACTATCATCACTACAGCAGCTTCCACCATCATTCCTTCTTCTTCTTTCCTCTATAATTGCTTTGACAGTAGAAGATATTCTACTTCTAGCCTGTAAAGAAGAAGACGTCATGGAAAAAAAAAAGTTGAATTTCACATGTCTACTTTTAATCTTTTTGCAACAAAAGCATATCTAAAATAAACAATGACTATGCTTTTAATTTTATTAAGTAAAAGAATGAAGTGGACATATTGATATTAGTGGATGTGGAGAACCTGCACGGCTCTTGCATATGGAGTTCCAGGTATGTAGAGTGGTAAAGAAATTAGCCCTCTCATAAATGCCAGAAAATCTTGTAGAATTGTTGCACTTTGTGGATCTTCTGGAGTTAATCCAAGAACTTGCTTCACTATCACATTGAATGAAAACTGCACACAAGAAACCAATATTATGTAAGAAATTCTAAATAATAATTGTGATCAAAACTTTCAAACACAAGTTTATTACTAGAGTTCAAATTCTATCCACTACAACAATAACAATAACATACGCAGTTTATTCCCACTATGAGAAGGGTTGTGAGTACACAGTCTTAGCCCTATCTTATGGCAGAGAGAAAGGACGTTTCCATAGATTATAAACCCAGTGTCATCCCACAAGTGGGATTTGGAGTGGGCAGCGTATACGTAGACCATACCCCTAGCTTACGAAAGATATAGAAAGGATATTTGGTAAACCCTCGGCTCAACCAACAGTGAACTAAATCAATAAACAATAGCAAGAATAAATGATGCTATTTAAGAAGTATTGATCAATAACCAAGAATAAATGATACTGTAACATGTTATAACAGGCTAAATTATATTTTCAATGCATATATAATTTTTACCTTCCTTGACTCCTCCCAGAAGCTGACTTGTTTTTTATTTTTCCAAGACTGAAGAATTTGAATGGCTGATTTTTCAACATCATTAATAAACTCAGGTTTAGATTTGATGGTGCTGATGAGTGATAAGGAAACATTCCTAAGCCTTTTGTGTGTGTCACCAACAGCCACAAGCAATGAAACTTTGCCAAGAATACCATGGATTGGTTTTGGGTAGCTGCACTGAAATAACTTATCTTCATTTTGTAGTATGAAGTAATTAAGGTCCTGGTCACAAGAAACCACTGTTGGAGAGAAAAACAAATGGGATTTGAACACTTTCCCATACCTGATCAAAAATCAAATTGTTACATGCAATAATAATGTTTAGCACTAATAACAAAGAGGGATATTATTATACTTTCAAGAAACATAATTATGAAGAAGCATGTTACTTACCTAGAGCAATGTTCTTGTAGAAAATTCCCAATTGAATTAGAAGGGTGAGGCTTTAAAAAGGAAAGGGTTTCTCCTAGTAAAGGCCATCCAAAAGTGCCCTTCGGAACATGACCAAGCTTAATATTGATGAACAAAGGCCAAAAATGATTCAAAACTATGCCAAATACAAATCCAACAAAACCAATAACTAGTGTCACTACCAAAAGGATACCTTCAGCCATTGAAATACACTCAAATTTGACTTGGTTTGGTTTTAGAAAAAGAAATGTTTTTTATGTAGGTGGCAGCAAATTGAGGTTGGGCTTAACCGGCTATATATAGAGGAGAGGGGAGAAGAGTTGTTTATAGTTTGAAGGAGCATTGTGTTTATTTAACGAAAGGAAAGCAAACAGGCTTTTATTTATTTACGTTGAATATTATAGTCGGCGAAATTAACTTTTGTCAGTTGCATAGGAAATGAAATCAACCTAGTCTGGGATCTACTCCTCTACAAATAGTAGGTACAGGTCATGGAAAAAAGATACTGTACCATTTATGAATAAGATTTGACTTATGTACATAATGTAAAAAATTTCTTTACTAGTATTGAAAAATAGTTTTAGCAAGTTAAAATTGTGTTTGGACATGCATTTTACTTGTAAAAAATTAAAGTTTTGTAAGTAGAAGAAAAAATTTCACTAAAATCTGATCAAATTCCATAAATAAACAATACTTTCAAAAACCTTTTGAAAGTAAAGGTCGCCAAAATCTATGGTCAAACAGGAACTTAGACTATCAATACTTATATTTTAATATGTCACAATGACAGATTTACAAGTGGCTATTCAAAAATAGTCACAGTTTCAAAAGTAATCGAAATTTAGCCACTTTCATGTAAAGGTAAATCTGAACGAGAACACTGTTCAAAATCCGGAAAATATTCCAGTATAATATATTGGAATTCCAGTATAATATAATGGACTTCCAGCATAATATACTGGAGTCCAGTATAATATACCAGTCTAGCATAATATGCTGGAAGTTTATACACAGATGCTCTAATCTCAAATATATTATGCTGGAACTTTCCGCGTATTGGAGTTCCAACATAATATGCTGGAAGTTCATCTACAGGTACACCGATCTCCAGTATATTATGCTGGATCTTTCTGTGTAACAGCAAAATAATGGTTATTTTTCAATGACTTTGCAAATGCTGGCTATTTTTGAATGGTCAATCTGAAAACTGGCTAGCCCGTGCTATTTTTACGTGAATAAACTTGTGCAAGCCCATCTTCTCCTATTCACGCTGAACTTGGTTTCATTTATAACAGAAGTCCATTTTTCCTTTTTCCTAGAAAAACCAATTTATAAATTCCCATTTTTGTTGCATAACAACCCTAATCTGATTCTTAATTGTAAACATGCCATTTTTATCTTGAAAACTATATCATAGACAATATCAAAGTTGGCAAATGCCCATTTTTCAACTAGCTGCTAAAATAAGGCTACGAATTTGAATAGACATGTTTCAGAAATCTGCCGAACACTGAGAAAGTTTTTCCCATTCGTGTGCAAGGGGACCGAAGTGTTAGAAAGGTCAAAACTAGTACCGATAATAACGTTTGATGTCGTGTTCATTGTGCCAATGTAGACAGTAGATATCTAATTCAAGCTAGGCTTGATTATGATCTAAACTGCTTTTTGAAGAGATGAAATGTATAAAAAGCCATAAACACTAAACATCTTGTGCCCTGTTTACTGGTATCGCATTATTACTTGCCCTTCTATGTGTTCAAACTTTTGGAAAAGATGCTACACTTTGTCCCGTCCTGATCTCGTACTTAACTCAAGTTATTCACATTGGTATAAAGGGCGTGAAAAGGAAAGAGTGATTTGCACAAAAGTATAACCCAACACATTACACTGCACTTACATAGTTATATTTTTTACTCGAATCTTATTGAAATATTGTCAAATTTCATCCACAACTTCAAAATGACATGCCTAACAAACCGTGGGGATCAATTTGTTTTAAAAAGAAATTAAGCTCACCCATTATACTCAGTTCAAATTCACTCCCTGTTAGTTTAGCAAATTCTTTACTTAACTTATCAATAGTTGTTCTACATATTATATCACCAATATATATTTAAACTACCAAGAGATCTTTACCTTTTTCTTTTAAGAACAAGATATTGTTAATTTTACCTCTCTTATAGCTATGCTCAAACAAGAATTTTGACAATCTTTCATACCATGCTCTTGGAGCCTGCTTGAGCCCATAAAAAGTGCCTTGTCAAGCTTGTACGCATGATCAGGACATCCTTGCTTTCAAAGCCCGAAGGTTATTGACAAACACTTCTTCCTTTAGATAGTTATTGAGTAAGGCACTCTTGACATCCATCTGATGGAGAGTGAATTCCATGTAAGCAGCAAAAGCTATAAGGAGTCTAATTGCTTCCAATCTTGCAACTGGAGCAAAAGTCTCATCATAGTCTATGCCCTCCTCTTGACTATATCCTTGAACCACTAATCTTACCTTGTTCCTTATAACTATTCCATCTTCGTCAAGTTTGTTTCCGAAAATATATTTTGTGTCAATTACTGATCTGTCCTTGGGTCTTGGTACCAGATATCAAATTTGACTTTTCTCTAATTGATTGAGTTCATCTTGCATCGCATTCACCCAGTCTGCATCCTGCAAAGCCTCAACAACGTTTTTAGATTCAATAAGAGATAAAAAAAACATCAAAAGCACAAAGATTCTTCAAAGAATATCTGGTTTTGATTCCAAAGGTTGGATCAGTGATTATTTTCTCAATAGGATGAGAACTTTGATACTTGTAAGGTTTTACAACCAGCTGGTTTCCCCTAGTTGTTCCTTTAATATTTTGTTGCTGAGGAATAGGTTCATGGATAGGTTCCCTCGAGGTTTGAGGATCAGTTCCTCTTTATTCAGTTCCTCCTATCAGGTTGCCCTGGGTGGAAGCACATGTTCCATCACCTGTTTCTTCCACTAGAGCAGCTTCAGTCTGGGCTGTGATTTTATTTGAGTTTCTTACCAGCCCAATTGCTTCATCATCTTGTTCCTGCCTCTTAGAAAAAATGTTAGTTTCATCAAAAATTACATGTACACTTTCTTCTACACATATAGTTCTTTTGTTATAAATCTTATAAGCTTTACTATGTGAAGAATATCCCAAGAATACTCCCTCATCACTTATGGGATCAAACTTACCTAGAGAGTGTTTACCATTATTGTGCATAAAGCACTTGCATCCAAACGCCCTAAGATGGGATATATTTGGCTTTCTCCCTTTAAGTAACTCATGAGGAGTCTTCTCAACAAGAGGTCTAGTCATGCATCTATTTATGATGTAGCAAGCAGTGTTCACAACTTCTGCCCAGAAGCTATGGGGCAGTTTACTAGAAAGAAGCATAGTCCTAACCATTTCTTTCAATGTCCTATTCTTTCTTTCAACTACTCCATTTTGTTGTAGAGTCCTAGGAGCAGAAAAGTTATGATTTATGCCATGCGCATCACAAAATTTAGCAAATTTAGCATTCTTAAATTTACTACCACGATCAGACTTAATTGATGCAAGTTGATTACCTAGTTGTTTCTGAGTTTTTTTAACAAAGGAAGTGAAGATGTCAAATGCTTCATCTTTAGATGTTAAAAACAGTGTCCAACTAAACCTAGAGTAATCATCAACAAGCACCATAACATATCTCCTGCCACCTCTACTCAATGTTCTTATTGGTCCACAAAGATCCATATGGACCAGTTCCATCGTCCTGGTAGTGCTTACCATTTTCTTGCTTTTGAAAGAGGATCTTACATGTTTCCCCCTTGCACAAGCCTCATAAACTTTATCTTCCTTGAACTTAATGTTAGGCAGCCCCATCACCAAGTCTTTGGAGACTAGTTTGTTGAGTTGACTTAGACTGGCATGTCGAAGTTCTTGTGCCAAAAGAGGGGATCATTATCCAACACACTTAAGCAAGTGAGTTCGTTGTTTGAAAGTGTGGACAGATCCACAACATATATGTTGTTCACATTTTTTCCCTACAAAACTATCTTGCCAGTGGTACTATTAATCACAAAGCATTTTGTAGAGGTGAAGGCTACCATGTTACATCTATCACACAATTGTGATACACTTATTAGACTGTACTTCAGTCCATCTATCAAGTATACATTCTCAATAGAGTGAGAATCAGACTTACCGACCTTTCCAACCCCAATGAGCTCACCTTTCTTTCCATTTCTAAAGGAGACATTACCTCCCTTATGATCCTCAAGTGAAAGGAGTTCTTGATTCGTGTCATGTGCTTTGAACAACCACTATCCATGTACCATATTTGGCTGCTCCCCTTCACTTGGACCTACAAAAGAAAATCAGGGGTTAGTTTTAGGAACCAGAACTAGTTTGGGTCCCTTTCTATAGGCAAAAAAAAGGATAAATCAGATTCATGTTAGCCCAACTTGGCAGCGTATTTTTCCCTAGAACATTCTTTTTGTTCTATTGACCTGCCTTCTCTTTTGTAGTGCATTCACTCTTATAGTGACCAGTGTCACCACAGCGTGTGCAAATCTTGTTCTCAGGGAGTGTAAGGTACTAACTTTTGGGATCCCACTTAGGTGCAGAGTTCCCAAAGCCAAGACCTCTTTTGTTGCTATTATGATATTCTTGTAGCCATGAAAGTGTATCAGAGGACCTGTTCCATTTACAAGTTCTGTCAAGATCATGCTTGAACTTGTTCAGATCCCATTTAAGACTCTTACCTGTTCATCCCTCTTATACATCATCTTTCAATTTTCCAACATTTTCTTCTAAAGTGAATTGTGTGTGATCAGCTGTCTTTTTACCTGTTCCTAATTTCAAATTTTAGATTTTCAAATCTACGTTCTAAGACAGTTGTGTCAAGTGCATGAACATGGTTCTTCAACACAGTATTTTCATTTTCAGTTTCACAAGCCCGAAGTTCCAGGTTTTTGCACTTAGCTTTCATAATCACACATTCTTTTGACAGCTGCTACTTTTCATTATTCACATCCTCAGATTCATCAATTAGCTCAATAGTAACTTAGATAACCTTTCTTTAGACAAAAATTTAATCTTGTCTTTGAGATGAAAGACACTTACCTCAGTTTCTTCATTAGATTCTCCAATAGCCATAAGTGCTCGTTCATCATCATCATCTGAGCTTCATCTGAGCTTTCTCTCTAAGCAGCGATCATAACCTTGGTTGATCTTTTGTTGTTGATTTTCTTGGGTGGAACCTGTTCCTTCTTCCTATTCCTTCATTCAGCTATTTCCTTATTCCACTCGATTTCCCACAAAGGATAATTTTTGATGTGGTGATCCATCTTTCCACACTTGTAGCACCC